AATGATAGAATATTTTATTTGAACTTTTAAATATTTTTAGCCCCATCCGCCATTCAGCAGACAAACGGATTTTTTTTTTAAAATCATTAAAAATTTATTTTTTCAAATTTTTATTATTTCTGTCATCGGAAAATCACCTGATTTTTAGTAGGGGCTGAGCCTTACACAATCCTGAAGGATAGAATATTTTATTTGAACTTTTAAATATTTTTTGCCCCATCCGCCATTCAGCAGACAAACGATTTTTTTTTTTTTTTTCATTACAAATTTATTTTTTCAAATTTTTATTATTTCTGTCATCGGAAAATCACCTTATTTTTAGTAGGGGCTGAGCCTTACACAATCCTGAATGATAGAATATTTTATTTGAACTTTTAAATATTTTTTGCCCCATCCGCCATTCAGCAGACAAACGAATTTTTTTCTTAAAATCATTACAAATTCATTTTTTTAAATTTTTATTATTTCTGTCATCGGAAAATCACCTGATTTTTAGAAGGGGCTGAGCCTTACACAATCCAGAAGGATAGAATATTTTATTTGAACTTTTAATTATTTTTTGCCCCATCCGCCATTCAGCAGACAAACGAATTTTTTTTTTTTAAATCATTACAAATTTATTTTTTCAAATTTTTATTATTTCTGTCATCGGAAAATCATCTGATTGATAGTAGGGGCTAAGCCTTACACAATCCTGAATGATAGAATATTTTATTTGAACTTTTAAATATTTTTTGCCCCATCCGCCATTCAGCAGACAAACGAATTTTTTTTTATTAAATCATTACAAATTTATTTTTTCAAATTTTTATTATTTCTGTCATCGGAAAATCACCTGATTCTTAGTAGGGACTGAGCCTTACACAATCCTGAAGGATAGAATATTTTATTTCAACTTTTAAATATTTTTAGCCCCATCCGCCATTCAGCAGACAAACGGATTTTTTTTTAAAAATCATTAAAAATTTATTTTTTCAAATTTTTATTATGTCTGTCATCGGAAAATCACCTGATTCTTAGTAGGGGACTCAGCCTTACACAATCCTGAAGGATAGAATATTTTATTTCAACTTTTAAATATTTTTAGCCCCATCCGCCATTCAGCAGACAAACGGATTTTTTTTTAAAAATCATTAAAAATTTATTTTTTCAAATTTTTATTATTTCTGTCATCGGAAAATCACCTGATTCTTAGTAGGGACTGAGCCTTACACAATCCTGAAGGATAGAATATTTTATTTCAACTTTTAAATATTTTTTGCCCCATCCGCCATTCAGCAGACAAACGAATTTTTTTTTTAAAATCATTACAAATTTATTTTTTTCAAATTTTTATTATTTCTGTCATCGGAAAATCACCTGATTGATAGTAGGGGCTGAGCCTTACACAATCCTGAAAGATAGAATATTTTATTTGAACTTTTAAATATTTTTTGCCCCATCCGCCATTCAGCAGACAAACGATTTTTTTTTTTTTTTTCATTACAAATTTATTTTTTCAAATTTTTATTATTTCTGTCATCGGAAAATCACCTTATTTTTAGTAGGGGCTGAGCCTTACACAATCCTGAATGATAGAATATTTTATTTGAACTTTTAAATATTTTTTGCCCCATCCGCCATTCAGCAGACAAACGAATTTTTTTCTTAAAATCATTACAAATTCATTTTTTTAAATTTTTATTATTTCTGTCATCGGAAAATCACCTGATTTTTAGTAGGGGCTGAGCCTTACACAATCCTGAAGGATAGAATATTTTATTTGAACTTTTAATTATTTTTTGCCCCATCCGCCATTCAGCAGACAAACGAATTTTTTTTTTTAAAATCATTACAAATTTATTTTTTCAAATTTTTATTATTTCTGTCATCGGAAAATCATCTGATTGATAGTAGGGGCTAGCCTTACACAATCCTGAATGATAGAATATTTTATTTGAACTTTTAAATATTTTTTGCCCCATCCGCCATTCAGCAGACAAACGAATTTTTTTTTTTAAATCATTACAAATTTATTTTTTTAAATTTTTATTATTTCTGTCATCGGAAAATCACCTGATTGATAGTAGGGGCTGAGCCTTACACAATCCTGAAGATAGAATATTTTATTTGAACTTTTAAATATTTTTTGCCCCATCCGCCATTCAGCAGACAAACGAATTTTTTTTAAAAAAATCATTACAAATTTATTTTTTCAAATTTTTATTATTTCTGTCATCGGAATATCACCTGATTGATAGTAGGGGCTGAGCCTTACACAATCCTGAATGATAGAATATTTTATTTGAACTTTTAAATATTTTTTGCCCCATCCGCCATTCAGCAGACAAACGAATTTTTTTTTAAAAAATCATTACAAATTTATTTTTTCAAATTTTTATTATTTCTGTCATCGGAAAATCACCTGATTTTTAGTAGGGGCTGAGCCTTACACAATCCTGAAGGATAGAATATTTTATTTGAACTTTTAAATATTTTTTGCCCCATCCGCCATTCAGCAGACAAACGAATTTTTTTTTAAAATCATTAAAAATTATTTTTTCAAATTTTTATTATTTCTGTCATCGGAAAATCACCTGATTTTAGTAGGGCTGAGCCTTACACAATCCTGAAGGATAGAATATTTTATTTGAACTTTTAAATATTTTTTAGCCCCATCCGCCATTCAGCAGACAAACGAATTTTTTTTTAAAAAATCATTACAAATTTATTTTTTCAAATTTTTATTATTTCTGTCATCGGAAAATCACCTGATTTTTAGTAGGGGCTGAGCCTTACACAATCCTGAAGGATAGAATATTTTATTTGAACTTTTAAATATTTTTAGCCCCATCCGCCATTCAGCAGACAAACGATTTTTTTTTAAAAATCATTACAAATTTATTTTTTCAAATTTTTATTATTTCTGTCATCGGAAAATCACCTGATTTTAGTAGGGGCTGAGCCTTACACAATCCTGAAGGATAGAATATTTTATTTGAACTTTTAAATATTTTTTAGCCCCATCCGCCATTCAGCAGACAAACGAATTTTTTTCTTAAAATCATTACAAATTTATTTTTTCAAATTTTTATTATTTCTGTCATCGGAAAATCACCTGATTTTTAGTAGGGGCTGAGCCTTACACAATCCTGAAGGATAGAATATTTTATTTGAACTTTTAATTATTTTTTGCCCCATCCGCCATTCAGCAGACAAACGATTTTTTTTTTAAATCATTACAAATTTATTTTTTCAAATTTTTATTATTTCTGTCATCGGAAAATCATCTGATTGATAGTAGGGGCTAAGCCTTACACAATCCTGAATGATAGAATATTTTATTTGAACTTTTAAATATTTTTTGCCCCATCCGCCATTCAGCAGACAAACGAATTTTTTTTTTTTAAATCATTACAAATTTATTTTTTTAAATTTTTATTATTTCTGTCATCGGAAAATAACCTGATTTTTAGTAGGGGCTAAGCCTTACACAATCCTGATTGATAGAATATTTTATTTGAACTTTTAAATATTTTTTGCCCCATCCGCCATTCAGCAGACAAACGAATTTTTTTTTTTTAAATCATTACAAATTTATTTTTTTAAATTTTTATTATTTCTGTCATCGGAAAATCACCTGATTGATAGTAGGGGCTGAGCCTTACACAATCCTGAAAGATAGAATATTTTTTTTGAACTTTTAAATATTTTTTGCCCCATCCGCCATTCAGCAGACAAACGAATTTTTTTTAAAAAAATCATTAGAAATTTATTTTTTCAAATTTTTATTATTTCTGTCATCGGAAAATCACCTGATTTTAGTAGGGCTGAGCCTTACACAATCCTGAAAGATAGAATATTTTATTTGAACTTTTAAATATTTTTTGCCCCATCCGCCATTCAGCAGACAAACGAATTTTTTTTAAAAAAATCATTACAAATTTTGTTTCGTTAACCAATATAAATTCAATTAATGTAAGTGCGCTATGCAGCTAAAATGACGGGATGAGAGAGAAAGGTGAAACGAAAGAACAAATCATTTACGGTAAAGGAACACTTGCGCCAGCACAAGACCCTTCTCAAATGAAAGAATGCCTGCGCAAGTATTAATTTTAATTGATTATAATAATAATAATTTACATAGATAACATAAAAGGAAAACACAAACAAACGTAAATCTATTGGCACAACTTCACGAAGAAAAGATAATTCTACGGGTATTGCTTACCACAAAAAAAGGAAACAGAAGGCGGAATTAATAAAACCAAAATGAAGTGGAAATCGTAATTGGCACACTACGCCTTCGATATCGCTTATTGTCGTGAGGTACCTCGACGCACTCAAAGCTCTCTTACCTTACCGGGCAGAACGTGGACAGCACGGCGAAATGTGCTGGCAGCTCGTGGTTCAACATTCCCTTTCCGAGATCGCAGGGCGCCTCGACGTCTCGAGGGGACCGACCTGGATCGCGGGCAGGCCTTCTAGAGTCCTGCCGCGCTGGGATGTCGTCAATTGAAAACGGGCACGCCAAGGTAGATTGCACGTGGCCTCGCTTCCACTTAATTCCAGGATACCGTCAATTGAAAACGGGCACGCCAAGGTAGATTGCACGTGGCCTCGCTTCCACTTAATTCCAGGATACCTTCACTGAAAACGGGCACGCCAAGGTAGATTGCACGTGGCCTCGCTTCCACTTAATTCCAGGATACCTTCACTGAGTCCACACTCGCACATGAGTCACAAAAGGGAATCAATCAACCATAAGGACGATCGACCGCTGTACTCGAATGATGTTTCAAGACTCTCCCACATAAAGAAAACTCCGCGCGCATCCCTTCGACCGCATGGCCATGGTCTCCGTGGCACCCGCATGCGCAAACTAGTAACGTCACGAGTGTATACGAAACATGGCGGGAAATTCAAATTTTCTTCCTTTCTTTCAAATAGTATAAAACCCGAACATTCCGCCCGCCTTCGTCCGCCCGACGAATTAATACCACAAATTACCTAAAGTAGCCTCACTTATCATTATCCTTTAACACAAGGGGGCAGAGCCGAACAATGTGTCGACGCAAAGAGGAAGTAGCCATTCTGACTGTGACCACTCGCACCAAACCGTCTGGGCCAGGGTGTACCTCGGATACCCTTCCTAACGGCCATTTCGATGGAGGATACCGATCGTCCTTGACCAATACGAGTTGACCCACCGCGAAGTTCTCACTAGGATCTCTCCACTTTTCCCTTTCCTGTAAATGAAGCAAATATTCAGTCGACCAACGCTTCCAAAATGTGTCACGGATGCGCTGTAGCAACTGGAATCTGTTGAGCCGATTTTCTGGCAAATCGGGTACGTCCGCGTCAGGGAGCAAAACCGCAGCTCCCTCATTGAGAAAATGAGAAGGAGTCAGCGCTCGCAAATCGCTGAGATCAGAATTCAACGCCCCCAGTGGACGAGAGTTAAGACAGGCTTCTATCTCCACGAGGACGGTGGAGAACTCTTCAAACGTGAGAGTGTGCTCACCCACAACTCTCCTCAAGTGGTGCTTCACTGACCTGACGCCGGCCTCCCATAGGCCACCGTAATGCGGAGTACTTGGAGGAATGAACGTCCAGTTAGTTCCGTCGTTTGCAAGTAAAGACGCAACCTCTTGATGGAATTCGGAAGCACGACGAAACATTCCTTGGAGTTCTTTGTCTGCGCCCTTGAAATTTGTGGCGTTGTCGCTATAGAGATTTTGACAAATGCCTCGTCTCCCCACAAAACGTCGGTATGCGCAGATAAAGGCAGCAGAACTTAGGTCGCTAACAAGCTCTAGATGAATAGCTCGAGTAGCGAAGCAAACAAATAGAACAATGTACCCTTTATAGGCACGATTGCCACGACCCTTCGACATACGAACCTGGAACGGACCAGCGTAGTCAAGTCCGGAGTTAGAAAAGGCCCTATTTCTTGTCACTCGGGCCGCGGGGAGCTCACCCATAAGTTGTTGTACTGAATGGGGCTTCACGCGTTGACAGGTCACGCATGCACGGATTGTCGATTTGACTAGCCGATTCCTACCTAGAATCCACATTTGCGACATCAAGATACTCGAAGTTAGAGTAGGGCCACCGTGAAGGCACTGAAGATGAGCGTGTCGTACGAACAATAAACTAAGAGCCGAATCCTGTGGTAAAATCGGTGGGTGTTTCTGGTCGAAAGACAGAGCCGAATGGGCCAGGCGACCTCCGACCCGCAAGAGTCCGTCTTCCTTACACAAAAAGGGATTTAAACTACTGAGTCGATTGCCCTTCGGTAATCTCTTTCCCGCGGATAATAGCCCAATCTCCACTTCGAAGGCACTCGCTTGGGCCATACGAATAACCACCGTCCGAGCAGCTGAAAGCTCACTTGTGGTTAAAAAAGAGAATAAAGAGCTCTCTGCGGACTCTTTCTTCTTCCTCAATCGAACGAGAGGGCGTCTGCATCGTGCTACAACCCGAAGAAGTTTGGTCAACGAGGAAAATCTAGTCAAGATCTCAGATTCTTTAGATCTTGGACGAACATGATTAATACGAACCGACTCAGCGGGTCTAGGCCATTCTGTTGAAGCTTTCGAGAGCCACACCGGACCCTGCCACCACAGAGCGCTATCAGCCAACCCCTCTGGCTTGACCCCCCGAGTCGCCAAATCTGCAGGGTTTTCCTTTGTCTGCACGTGAGCCCACGTGGCCGACGGTAATTCAGTCTGGATAAAGGAGACTCGATTGGCCACAAAGGTCTTCCAATGGCACGGATGCTTGCGAAGCCACGTAAGTACGACCTGACTGTCTGACCAGGCGAAAATTGGAAGCCCTTGTAAGAAATCTAACCCAATCAGATGTCGAATTAGTCTCACAAGGAGCGCTGCACCGCAAAGTTCTAAATTGGGGATGCTCACTGTTTTTACAGGAGCTACTTTCGATTTAGCTGCTAATAACGACACCCTGAAGTTCCCATTCCCTTGATCAAGTCGCAAGTACACTACCGCGGCATACGCCCTAGAAGACGCATCCGAAAACCCATGAACTTGATACGAGGAGGCAGCCGTACCACCTAACCAACGCGTCACGGACAGCAACGGCAACGCTGACAAACTCTTACAATACTCATACCAACGTTCACGAATCTCCGCTGGCAACGGGGAATCCCATTCGCACTTCAGGATCCACATGTCCTGCATCAGGATCTTTGCTGTGACAGTGACAGGAGCGAGCCATCCTAACGGATCGAATAATCGCGAGATGTTCGAGAGAATCGACCGTTTAGTGTGGGCCGAAGCTAAACCTTCAAGACCTGCTGCTGTGAATCTAAATTCATCCTGGGACGGAACCCACTGTACTCCTAACGTCTTGACGGCCTTATCCTCATCAATTTGCTTTTCAGCGATTGGCCTTGCAGACTCCGGAAGAAGTTGCGGATGATTAGCCGCCCACTTGTTCAACTCGATCTTGGCAGAACCTAGCAACTCGATTAGCTCGATTCTTTTACGTACTGCAGAATCCAAATCGTCCGCTCCAGCAAAGGTGTCATCGACGTATGTCTCCGAAAGAAGGCACCGAGCCCCAAGGGGGAAACGCTGTCCCTCATCATGAGCTACCTGAGCAAGAGTCCGAATGGCTAAATAAGGAGCACAAGCTGTCCCATACGTGACCGTGTTCAGACGATAATCTACCGGTTCTACAGCATCTTTGGGCGTCCAGACAATCCTCTGGAAGTCCTGATCGTCAGGCCTGACGAGGATCTGGCGGAACATCTTGACGATATCAGCTGTAAACACGAAGCGATACCTACGCCAATTTAAAAGAACTAGCGACAAATCAGTTTGCAATGGAGGACCTGTAAACAAATAGGAATTCAGCGAGTGCCCTTCCCGAGTACTACGAGACGCGTCGAAAACAACACGCAGTTTCCAATTCAGGCTAGTTTCTTGGACGACTGCATGATGTGGTAAATACCAAGCATCTGGACGATGAATCTCCGACGGTGGAACTCGCGACATGTGACCTAACCTTTCGTACTCCTCCATAAACGCATTGTATGACTGACAAAGCTTCGAATCGCGAATAAAGCGACGCTGTATGTTTGACAAAGAACCAAGCGCCAGACTTCGAGACTCTGCGCCCACCAACGGGAGATCAGGCTTCAATGGTAGCTTAACAACGTACCGGCCCTGCGAGTCCCTAAAATGCGTGTCCTGGTATTGCCTTTCGCAATTCTCATCCTCAGGTTTCAACCTCTTGATAGGAACAGGCACCTCTTCAAGAGCCCAGAAGCTTTGTAATGCGAGATCCAACTTCTCTCCAGCAGTACAGTGAAGGACCCGAACTGGGATACAGGCCCTAACAACCTCCGCCCGCCGTGAAGCCACTTCCTCCATAGGACCGGAAACTATCCAACCCAGAACAGTGTTCTGCGCGACCAGCTTAGAAGTCGCTGACTTCTTCAATCCAGGGCGAAGCAGCTGACCATAAAGATCACCCCCTAGGACAATGTCGACCTTTTGACGAACATGGAACTCCGGATCAGCCCATGTGACACCGGGGAATAGCTCCCGTCCTAAATCGACGTTAGCTTCATGAGATGGAAGAGAAGAAGTGACCCGAGGAAGTACCAACATCTCCGCCTCAACCTGAAAATCAGACTCTATCACTGAACGCACAGTCACCTGAGTCATAGAGCGAGCAGTACCGGCGGCACTGTCACCGATACCAGATAAGGGCGTGTGCGTGTGCAGCTTAGGTAGCTCAAGAAGTTGTACAAGTGCCTCGGAAATAAATGACGATTCGGAACCCTGATCGAGAAGCGCCCGAGCATAAGTCACCTTACCCTTCGGCCCCACAACTATCACCCGAGCCGTTGCTAGAAGAATCTTCCTTAACAACGTTGGAGACTTAGCTGAATGAAGGCTTACCACCGATGTATTGGGCTTCTGAGCTCCGTCATTCTCGGGGTTATCTGGGATGGCTGATGCTGCTACTCTCCCCAGGTTCTGCTGGTGAATGCTAGAGTGATGCTTCCCCTGACAAGTGGAGCAGCGACCTGAGGATGGACAAACATTCGCCCGATGCGGACCCAAGCAGTTGAAGCAAAGTCTCAATCGCTTTACTTCTTCCTTCCGATCCTGAACGGACTTCTCTTTAAACTGCGAGCATCTCATAAGAGCATGTGGACCCTCACATAGCGGGCACTTAGGTGAACGCGATATAACTGGAGTAACGTGATGGATTTTACGAGGTGGAGGACCCGAAGTAGGTGGAGGAGCCGTCCTCTTCTCGGCACGCCGCTCAAAGGCGAGCATGTCAAGAATCCTGGCTCTTTTTTCTAAGAACTCGACGAAATTGCTGAAACTAGCAAGAGAAGTCGGAGACCCTGTTTCCTCAAGCTTACGATCCTTCTCGCTGAGCTCGGACTCCCAAAGTTTGCGTGACTCTGGATCCAGACGCTCTGACAACTCGAAGGTCAACCATGTGTCCCAGTGATCGACTGGAACCTTCAAGTTTCTCAACGCTCGTACAATGCGCTGAGCTTCGTCCGTGAAGGACCGTAACTCATCCGCTGACTCCCTTTTAAGATAAGGAAGTGCCTTGAATGCAGACAGGTGCTTATTAATGATGAGCCTCGGGTTGTGGTATCTAGACTTCAGCGCCTTCCATGTACTCTCATAGTTGGCGCTCGTAGTGGAAACATCCTTAATCAAATCTGACGCGCTCCCGGTCAAGCACAGTTTCAAATACTGCAATTTAGTCGCATCGTTTACTCGAGGCGCATCATGAACAAGTGTTGTGAATAAGTCACAAAAGCTCTCCCAGT